CCAAAAAATGTAAAAGTCACGATTTATTCCGACACCTGTTCTGGACAGAACAGAAATCAATATATGGCAGCATTTTTGTTACATTTAGTTCAAGTGAGCCCTATCTTACATGTAATTGAACAAAAATATCTAGAAAGTGGGCACACTTTTATGGAAGTTGATTCGATGCATAGTGCCATTGAAAAAGAAAAAAGATTTTCCGATGTCTATTCAGTGATTGACTGGAAAGGTATCATGCATAGAGCTCGCTCTAATCGACATAATAAAAATGCGCGTCCATATCAAGTAAAAGAACTTTTTTCCATGACACGATTGATGTGAAAGCTTTAGCATCCCAAATACTAGTAAACAAAACGGTTTGCTCCGACGGAAGCAAAGCCAATTGGCTAAAAATAGAATGCCTCCGATTCGAAAAGGCTCTACCTGGAGTAGTTCAATTCCGGTATGACTATGAGGGACCATATTTATTGATGGACATAAGTTCAAAAACATGTAAAACTAGGCAGACAAGAAACAGGGCAACTTCAGTATTAGATATTTCTAGATTAAGCTTAGAAAAGGCATACAAACAAGTTCTACCTATTTCAGAAGCGAAACAAAAGGATCTGATAAACTTGTGCAAAAAAAATTATACCAGTTGAGCTGCACCCATGGTATGAAAGCTTGCCATCAACAAGTCAGTCAGTTATTAGCTCCGATTCAGAATAAGTGAAGAAATTGAGAATAAATAACTAAGTCTAAGGAGTTAACTTAAAGCTAAAGTGCTGTTGATATTTATAGTTTATTAAGTTATTGAAGGGTCTTACTTAAACGTTACAGCAGAATGTTTAGAAAATGAATATTTTTAATAAACATTCGGCTTCTTTAATTTCTTTTATTTGTTTAACAAAGAATGTGATGTTACTTTTTTTTTAAATTAAAACAAAATACACTGATTTCACTAACTTCCAAGTGTTTAATTTTATTTAAAGTAATAAGTAGTAATTCTCAATCATCTATTACCAAAGATTTTTTATTTTGGCATATCCGAAAAAAGTATACAAAAGTTTTTAATAAATTATTATTGCAGTGTAATAATTGAATAATGTTACTTATCATGTCGATTTTCAACCTGATGTTCTTTCAACTAACGGGCAAAACTGAACAACTAACACAATAAAGCAGATAACTACATGTTAGTTCCGAAAATTCGGTAAAACAAAATTAGATAACTTCTTAATGCTATTTGAAATATTTAGGTAACATGGTATGGGTTTTACAATAAACACAAAAGATACACAATGAACCATTTATTAACATAAAAAAAAAACCGACAATAAATATATTTACAGTAAAATATTTATATCGGTTTTTATTTAAAAAAAACACTAAATCAGCTTTTTCTCGCAAAAATGGTTTTGTTAGTTATCTAATTTCGCTTCTACGCCAGCGATATTACTGTTGTTACTGATTCACAAACCCTATAATAACAATACCCAGTATTAGCTACTCCATGTTAGTGTAGGAAAAACGCAAAAGAAGTTATCTGAAAGTAAAACCAAAGACTAAAATTATTCGAAGGTTAGTTACTCGGGTGTAATATAGAATCTGGTCGAACCCATCCTTAATACCATATTTTTAATAATATGGTATTCTTTAATGTAATGTTGTCCCGTCACGGTTCTTTGAACGATGTCATCTGAAGAACTCGTATCTCTATATAAATTTTCCTTTGGTTTTATTGCTTTGTAGAATAATTAGAAACGATGGCAAGAGACCCGGCGGTATGACGTTGGATTCTTGGGAGAGAGATAAAGCTTTAGTGTGGGATACTAATTGCTAAGACACTTTGGCGGCCTCATCTCCGGAGTACCTCGTTTGAAGCAGGGGTGGCATCAAAGGCAACTGAACTAAGTAAGTAGCCCAAATATGAGTCTCTGAGAGATGAGTACATATTTTTGCCATTTGCTGTAGAGACTATCGGTCCGTGGGGTCTACGTGCGGTGATGTTCCTAAACAAACAATCCGCGACTGATAGTCGCCGCTGGTAATAAGAGGGCTGCTTATTTTCTCGCTCAAAGGCTAAGTATAGCCATTCATAGAGGAAACTCAGGCAACTTTCTTGGCACTATACCGCGTGGAGAAGGACTGTATGATAATTTCATTTTTTAGTTATTTTTTTTAAATATAGTTTTTTAATAAAGTAATTTGAATTTCGAAAATAAAGTTGTAAATAACTGATAATTATGTAATTTAATGTTTATATCTTGCTAGATGGAGCCCCTCTAAGGCACGTTACTCCACTGGTACCCGGATCATTGTTACCACAGAAAAAATAATTGTAGAATAACGTTTTAAATTTGAAAGAGTTATATTGTTTAATTAGGAATGATAATACAATCATTGAAATTGTATGATCTACAAGTTTCAATTAAATTGTCAGTACGATACGCGCTCCACCAATAATACATAACCGATATACCGATAACGTAAGTTAATTGTACTATTCGTATAACCTTCGCGCAAGTGCAAGCAATAAGTTGACAAAGTTTTACCGCAATCTGATGAACGGTATGGCAGTGCATATAATACGGACAAACATTATTTTTTATAAATTACAAGATATAGTTTATTCCATCTATAGACAGATTTGTAAATATTAATTATTTACAAGTCTGTCTATAGATGGATCTAATAGGCGTTATTTTAGCAGCTGATTTGTTTTCTATAATACTAGAACTGAATGAACGGTTGACAATAAACTCTTTGCGAAATTATGTTTTATTTTTATTTTGTATAGTTACTTACACCAGTTGAATATTTTCCAGTAGTAATTGAATATTCAAGCATCGCGAAGTCGCGAATGAATCGACATACCCAATAAAACCCGGAGCAGAATCCGTTCTGTAGTTATGAATAAAAACGTAGATAGACCAACGCAGCGTCAATCTTGGTTTTGTGTGAGGTATAAAGCTTGCGTCGAAGGCCTAGGTATTAATTGCTACATTTATTTATTGTATGGCATCATATTAATATGATACGTACGTAAATAGAATGGACGTTATGGGTAGGCCTAGGTATAAAATTTTTATCGATATATTTCGTTACACTGTCTTGTCTCTATTATTAGTTCCGTGGACGTTCACTTCTGCTGTCAGCACCAAAATGGCGAAAATCAAATCACCTCATTATGTCACGATGTATATAGAGCTCAGTAGCCCAGAGCTCAGTGAAACGCAGTGATATATACTTTTTGTTTTTTTGTTTTTATGTGTTCTTGATATTCTTGCGTTAACTACTTGTACTATCTATCATGTGCGTTAACCTCAGGCGTTAACGTAGACCATAGAGAATATAATACGTAGGCTACTTTCTATGTGCGACCAATGTGCACAGACTAATATGATGCTGAGGATTCTGGGGAAGCCCCCCCCCCCCCCCCCTTATGAAAATGTACAGTTTATGAGTAATAATTTTTTTTCTAAAATCATAACCTCATTTTTTTACACAGGAATATTGACATACTTACCTTTGCAACGGCTTCGGCGCTGCGGGAAGTACAGCCCCTTCGCCATTGCATAGCAAATCACAGACAGCCATGCTTACCTCTGTAGCTTCGGCTTATTAGTCGCCTTCGGCGACCAGCCTCAGCCTCTACGGCTCCGCCAGATGCCTGCGATTTGCCACAGCGGGCGGGGGCTGCTCTCCCTCCGTGCCTACAGCTTTACAAAAACTCTAGAGGTAGAATAGACACGACTACGAGGAGTCGGGGCGTTTATTTTTAGTACAGATTCCACCTATCTTATCTATACAAATAAATAAAATTGAAGTGTCTGTGTGTAATGTCAAAATAACAGCTTTTTACTAAATGAATATGAAAATATATACGGTACTTATAACAACAACACAATTTTTAAATTTTTTGTCTGTCTGTCTGTTTGTTTGTTCCAGCTAATCTCCAAGACGGCTGGACCGATTTCAACGGGACTTTCACTGGCAGATAGCTGATGTTATAAGGAGTAACTTAGGCTACTTATATTTTAGAAAAAGAAAAAGAATTAGGGTTCCGCGCAACATAATTAAAACCCTAAATTACACGCGGGCGAAGTCGCGGAGAGCAGTTAGTCTATAACATATAATTGAGCCAGTGAAAATCCCGACAAAATCAGTCCAGCCGTTTCGGAGATTACCCGGAACAAACAGACAGACAGACAGACAAATATTTCAAAAATTGTAATTTTGTAATAAGTAGCGTACCTATATACTTTCATATTCATTTAGCAAAAAGCTGTTATTTTGACATTGCAAACAGACACTTCAATTTTATTTATTTGTATAGATAAGATTAAATTAATCTTTATTATTTGAAACTCTACCAAAGCGATTATCAAGAAAGAGTTATTCTTTAGATTTTTTTCGAGAAACGCAGATGAGTCCGTTTAATATACTAACTAAACTAAAGACTAAAGTTCATGTTCTTGTACTTCTTTTGTTGTTCATGTTCATAAATTTCATAGCTAACTGCTAACGTTATGATATATCACACACCATAGATTACCTATAAGTACACTAAAATTTCGGAATTACTCACTAAGTAAAGTGTCTTAAAAAAAAACATAAAATTAAAAAGATACATCTTCCCTGTTATCCGTTAATGCTAACGTTATGTTTAGTACCTACACTGTTTAGAGATTGTTTAGCGTTGAAGTATCTCAAGAACCTTGTAAACTTTGATTATTTGGGATCAAAATATTGCTTCATACTTAGGTACCTATCAGCGAATCTTCTATTACATTTTAAAACAATAACGAAAAGTGTATAATTTTATGTATAGAATTGATTGTATTAATATATAATACATTGTGTAAAAATTAATTTCATATATTTAATTTATTGATTAAGTAACTATTTAAGTATTTTACAAAAGTTTGTAACCAAAAGCACTTGACAAATAAACTCTTTATAACTAACTTCGCGCCCGCGCGGAATTACATGTCTATGCTGAGATTCATAAAGATATCTCACAAATAGCGTCTAGTTCGATATGAGTGTGAAGGAGTAGGTCGTTTAGCAAGTGCGGCGGCGGCTCGGCGAGCATGTACGCGCCCGTGTTTAGCCAGGTGATCGGAACGTGCGAATCTCTTGCCGCATTCTCCGCAACGGTACGGCTTGTCTCCAGAGTGGCTGCGGCGATGCCGTGCCAGTTCGTCCGAACGTGCAAAACGCCAACTGCATCCTCCCCACGTACACTTGTACGGCTTTTCTCCGCTATGCCGCCGTAAATGTGCTCTTACATGAGACGCTTTTGCATACAACTTTCCGCAATCGCCTACCGGACAACGGAATGCGCCTAACTCCGGGCAAAATGTCGGTTCACCTAACGACCGTACCTGTGACTGGGCCTCCACACCATTACATTTCTTTTCACTAGCACTTTTAATCGAATTTGATGTGTATATTGAGTTCTCCGTACACGTCGATTCTAAATCAATCCCAAATACGGAAAGTCGCCCAAGAGCTGCATCTTCACAACTGTCAGTGGAGTCAGTTCCCAATTGTGTTGCATCATCAGAGCGATCACAACTTAGAGCTTCTAGTAAGTAATCGTCGAAATTCGCATTCTTGTCTAAATCTGCGAAATCAAATAGCACAGGTGAAGTGTCGACGGTTCCATCCCTGGTTCTGTCACTAACGCTACCAAGGAACGCGTCACAATGAAAGTCCAAATCACTGAGTTGCCAATCCTCCAGTTCTGTGTTAAATGTCGTCGGTAACTCGAAGTTTATTAAGCTTTCTGCCGGTGAATACTCGAACAATAATTGATCACTTAACAAAGCATCTTCTAGAATTAAGTTGGAGTCCTCACGATACATTTTGAATCTGCAATTTTCATAGAGTCTTCATTCACGAGCTTGCAAAATCATTGGTTTCCGTATCCGTTGGTAGTTAATACTCACGATCGCCGCTAGTTTAGAATAATTATTTCATAAGCGATCAAAAATTTATAAATAGGAAAGAATATTGCGATATGTGATATTTGGTAGAGTAGCGCGTGTATCTTACTTGCCGCGTTACTGGCGAATGTGACAAACGCTGGCGTCCTGCAGCGCCGGACACTGCGACGGACACGCGATAAGGCTGATCACCGATTATCGGCGGACAAGCGAACGCATACTCTCGGTTCCAGCGATAAACGACAGAACCTTATTCCTGCTCTTCCCTCACAACCAACCAACCCTCGTCACTTAATATACAAAGGTTTTTAATCTTTGTTTAAAGATCGGGATTCATAATTTTTGTTTTAAATAATTCTACGTTGTTATTGTTTAGGTATGTTAATCACATTGCGCAGTTAAAATGATAATAGGCAAGAAATATCAATAACTGAGCTGTTTATTGAATACAACGACGCGAGGATCATTCACTTTCTTCATGCTTATCTTGTTTGCCCGACCAAACGTGCAGTTCTTTTACCTATGCAAAGTACAATGTAACAACAATTACCAATTGATGGCACTCGTTTAAATATACGAGTACAACTAGTATGTACATATTATATTTTTATACAAAGTTGACATTTGTTATTTTGAATTGAATTGTTGAATACCAGCGTGAAGTAGAGGTTTACCTCTGCGTTTCGCTTGGTGAGTGCAGGTGGCTGGAGGCCCTTTTTACTGGAAATGAGGCATTCCATCTTAGTCCTCACGGGCGACAACGCATCTGCATTTTGATTTGTAATAAAGGATAGATGTAGATGTCTATGGGCCGCAGCAACCACTTACCATCAGGTTAAATGTGCACTCAGCTTTTATTATAGTATTTTGAAAATTAGTATGAGTATCAGTAGGTATTGGTTAGGCAGGCAAATCAATAAATGGAAAGAAATTAATGTAAGCTAAGACACCTCAGGAGAAGTGCACTTACGCACGCAATTACCCTGAATTCAATGCCTGACACCAATTGCAATTTTAACTTCTAATTTATATGCAATAAGTGTATTCAGCTGAAAAATATGAGGTCTGTCTTTGCCCTGCTGTGGCACGTTATATAATGTTACATTTATTTTTTAAAAGACAGTTATGAAATATATGACGTTCATGCTGATATTTGTAACTTCTCAGTTTTCCTGTCTACCACTTAAATAGTTAATATAGTAAAATAAGCACGTATGAAGTTCTACTAATATACGCAAGTAGAGTTGAGGAAAGCAGATAGACAAAGGTTAATGTGAGCTTAAAACGCTGTCATGCACCAAGCTGTTAAATAATTACTTTTTATGATTGTTTTCAATTACTCCATTCAACTGATGCACCTACAGGCAAAAGTTAATTACTAAAAACATTTCATAAGTTCAATTAATATTTCGAAAGTCACACGGTTTACCTATTTTCGTTAACTTTAGGTGATTTCATCAATAGGGTTGGCAATGTTATTCTCTGAATGATATGTCAACTCAACTGTCTCTGATTGTATATTACAAAACTGTCTCTGAATTTATATTACAAAAACATCCCTTCCTAACGTTCTTCCGTGGTGTTCATTCCTTCCTTGAGGTGGCTCTCTGCGCTCTATAACTTTAGTCTACGGGACCTTTGCAGGCTGTTATTTTATTTTCAATAGCACCCTTTAGGTAGCCCAAGTTCTAAGTAAAACTGAAGACTGCATGTCACGGATCTAGGATCAGGATTTGAAAAAATTATAAAATATTTGAATGCTGTTGTTGCCCGATGTTTGCGCTTTTTAGCCTACTTCAAAAAAGGGAAGGCTCTCAATTCGACTGTTCTTGTTGTTCTTGACTTCTTTTTTTTTGTATTTAGGTTACGCAATATCTTCGTCAATTGTGAACCGCATTTAATTATTCTTATTTACTTAAATAGGTTATACTCCAGGAATAGTCCAATATAAATTTGAATAAAATATTTAAAAAAATAGGCGATGATGTCATTAATGTAACTCTTTGGACGACAATCTAGTTGTTACCTTGTGATATTCCTAAGTCCTCTCAAAAGGGTTGAAAAAACTGAAATCGCGGCCGTGATTCGTCTATATATAGACAAAGTTTTTATATATACAAAGTTTTCTACTTTGTATATATACAGGCCGGCAACGCATCTGCAATTCCCCTGGTGTTGCGGTTGTTCATCAACAACCGCGGCGGTAGTCACTTACCATAAGGTGAGCCGCATGCTCGTTTGCGCCCTCTCCTATAAAAAAAAAAAAACAAAGTTTTCTACTTTTTATTAAAAGTTTAAAATTAACTGTATAATGTAAATCAATATCTAGAACACCACTTCGTACGTGGTAGAGCCACGCTGCAGCTTTGTTATGGTTTCAGCATGATTGGGTCGGCTCGACCGGGGTAGGACCACGCTCTCACGGAATACCAGTGTAAAATAGCAGCTTAATACTGCTGTGCTTCGTATGGCGAGTGTAGACAACCAAAAACAAATGGCCAAAGGGAGAGAAAAAAATTTACAAATAAATTAAATTTCTATCTGATTAGTCAATGACAACTGCTTCCCAACTACTAAATAATTAACTGCAGTCATCCTCAAGAAATGAAAGTTACAGGTGCTGCTTAGTCCTACCATGAGGACTTAGATATTTCAAAGCTGATCAGAACACTGAGGGTGGCTTAGATGGGATTGGACCTAAAAGCTTACGTAGAAATGGGCATAAAGTGATATTTATCCTGACTTTCCTTCTAGGAGTGTTAATTGGCTTATTAATGGTCTTCCGTATCTATTACCACTCATTGAACTGTCAATCATTAAATCAGGAACACTACGTGGTAGAACCACGCTGTAGTTATATTAGTTGTAGCACGAACGGGTCGGTTTGACTGAGGTAGGACCACGCTCTCACAGAATACCTGCGTAAAATAGCAGCTTGTTTCGTCAGAACCGTCTTCGATTCCTAACCTAACCTTTTTATTGGAAACGAGGCATTCCATCCTAAATATTCCTCAGGAGTTACAACGTATCTGCATTTCGATTCTTAATCGAGGATAGATGTAGATTTCTATAGGCCACAGCATCCACTTACCATCAGATGGAATGTATGTTCGTTTGTCACCCGTATTCTATAAAGAAAAACCTAAGCAAGTTTCATTACAAACATTAATTGGATCGAAATATCTAGACATGTGTTATGACGCACCGAATCACCCTTTCACTATATCTGTTTATGAATTTCTTATTCTTGTTTATCAGTCTGTTATACACACACAGGACACACAGGAGATCGGCCTCTCCCATTGTAGAAATGATTTTCTGAAATCCCTACGCCTGGTAGACAGATTAAAAAGATAAGTTAAATCTTTATGAAATGTGCTTTTTATATCATTTCTATGTATAATATGATGAATGCTATGACAATATAATGATGAAAATATGATTCATGCGACAAAACGTTGGAATCTTAATTTTTAGGTCCTAGCAGAACATACCTGCGCGTTTCGCGCTTAAGGCATGCAAAACGCAGTGACAGTTGTCTTTTTATAGAAGTAGGGGCCCAGAGCTGTGGCCCGTAGACACCTACATCTACTATTAATTAAGAATCAAAATGCAGTTGTGTTCTCATTTCTCACCCCCGAGGACTAAGACAGAATGCTTAGTTGCATGGTTGTCAATTACGACATCCACGAGATAAAAGGGAGTGAAATAGAATATATTACGCGTCTATTACACAAATAAAAACTAACTATCAGTACCACACATTTACAGGTTTACAGCTCATAAGCGATCCTATTATCAGATTATGTTAAGGACATCAGGAAGTTTTCAATAACTATTTAAAAAAAATTAGATTAAATAAGAGGGGTGAAACTATTCAGAAACCATTATAGATGAAAATAGAGAAGATAAAAGAAGGAAAGGTTGAGAGCACACTACACATATTCGACAAAAAAACTATTGTCATATCAGGAAAAGCTGGAAATTTCTCCACTGACAAAAGCATATCTCTCAACTCCCTGATATCTTGATGACATAATTCATCTGAAAAGGTTTTGGTTTATTATAAAAGCAAAAAGATAAAAACTATAAAAGAAAGAATTTTTGTTAGGTTAATAAAACATTTTTAGAAATGAATTTTAACGTCATCGTGATGAAAGAATTCAGGTAAATGGCGTCAAATGCCGTTTAACAACATTAGTACATATATTTGCGCACTTGCGTACTTTGGTGGCTATCGCTCTCATCATTGACGCTATTAGCGGCCAGTGGCTGGCACCACCGGCATCTGGCGATATTTGCGACGCGACGCCAGCTCGTGTTTCAGTCGCGGCCTATATCATATCAACGCAACAAATACCATTCAATTGTTAAGAGACAATTTTTATTATTATATATATTATGTACATAAACTATGTAGTTCATATTTGTTCTGGAGTATGGGGTACACAAGTGAGTAGTTACGTTTTTCTGCCGACTTCCAAAAGGAGACGGTACTCAATTCGACTGTAAGTTGTTTTTTTTTTATGTGCGTTACCTCATAACTTTTTACTGGGTGAACCGATTTCGATGATTCTTTTATATATGAAAGCTGATACTTCTCGTGTGGTCCCATATAAATTTCATCAAGGTCAGACCGATAGTTTTTGAGTTATTCTTAATAACTTATATTGAAGTCGGCTGTACAAAATTTTTAATTTTTAATTATGTATTATGTGTACTACATACATAAATACAAACACCCGGGACAGGTTGATATTAAATTAATGATTATGTTAAATTGTTAAAACATAATATTAGATACCATCACCATCATCGGACAACTAGGTGGTCGGTGGGGTCTTCACCCATTTGTTGTTGATATTTCAAGCACCAAACAAAACGGTTTGCTTAGTCTGAAAACTTGTAGGGATCACCGA